AACAAAAAAGGGGTTGGAGAATGGTTTAGGGATTGGTACAAGAAGTTAAATATTAGCAATATTGTTTGACAAATAATACTCCTGTATTTTGAGGTAAAGAGAAAACTAAGAGCAGCAATATTCCCATAAACATAAAAATTGGATTGTGCTTTGCTGCTCGATGATACGAGAAGTTTGCTGATCCAGAGTGCCAAAGGGTTTTATACGAGAGATATAGTTATTGTCACAATTTGACTTTTACACAGTTTTGAGTTGGTTGATTCTAAGACTCTACTTCCTAGCCAATTGATGTTTACATTGCATTATTTTTTCGAGCTCTATAAACCAAATGTGTATAGACAAGAAAATTTACATTTTCCCTTGAAGCTCATCTCCGATCCACCCTAGAATCCTCAGATATGTTTCGTCTGTTCTCTAGGTCTATTTTTCGAGGAACTATTTTCTCTTTGAGATCATTATTGTTTTAAAGATGAAAGAATCCATTAAAGCAGACTGAGATAGCTAGTTTAATCTCCATGGTCCTATAACACCGAAGAATCATGAGAAAAGGCTTCAAGCTAGCTCTAGTACTACTTGACCAAGTACAGAATTAAACACACAACCATACCTTTGAAATAAACTCAGCCACATACCGGCATTAAACATAATAACACTTGCATTGGGATAAAAACAACTAAAAAAGACTAGTCAAAACATACTGGATCCCAATCAACATTATGAACAACTTCTGCTTTAGGTGACGCACACTGAAATGTGTGTAGCACAGATCCAAATTCAAATGCTTCGAGAACATAATCATAGTGATGACTTCGTATAATCCAAATAGACTCATGAACATCCCTAGGCCTGTAGGTATCAATTTAGCTTATTGTAACATCCGGCAATGAAATAACTATGAAGAAGCTTGAAATTGGAAATAGTCATTTTTGGAAAGAATTCAAAAATTTGGAAAATTTAGCTATGGAAAAAAAGTGAGTTTTTGGTCAACTTTGAACAGTCATAACTCCTAGATCAGGATTATTTAGGTGTAGTTCCAGTTAGGTTTGGAAAGCCCTTGGAATGATCTTTCCAACGCCGCCGAGTTTGCTCGATTCCGAGTTCGTATGAGTGAGTTATGCCCTTTGGAAGTTGGGCTGTTGGCAGTGCAGTTAGCCCGAATTTGTAAGGGTATTTTGGTCTTTTCCCTAACTAATTCTTTTGGTTATATTAGGGATTTAGACTGATTTTTTAGATCAGTTTTTCCCTTTTTAAAAGAGTGAGAGTGAGGGTTAGGGCTTTGAGAGAGAAGAGGAGAAGAAGAGGAGAAGGAGAAGAAGAAGCAAGGTTCGTGGAGATCGTCGTGGATTTCGTCGGGGGTGATCCCTATTAAGGTATGTGAGATCATAGTGTTGGGTTGGACCATTCCCCCCACACGCCAAACTCTTTTTAATTCCGAGAAAAGATTGGTTGTGTT